CGGGAAAGGGAGACGAGAACGAGCTCGAGCTTGCTTGTTATTTATTAGGAGGTTCTCGTTAAGGTCCATCCGAGTCCACGGGGCCCGTGGATACGGCGGAGACCTGTCACACCCGCGTTATCTGACCGACCGCATTGTTTTAATCTCCCACCAAACATCGTCGTCGCTGTCGTTCCCTCTTTCTCGCGTTCTCTTTCCTCAAGGCTCTTTCTCTCTTTCTTTCTCTCTTTCTCTCTCTCTCTCTCTCTCTCTCTCTCTCACCTTAGGCTTAAACATTTCATCTTAATACATTTCACACGTAGGATATCGATAGCTTTCTGACTTTTGTCCGAAAATCGCAAGTTTTCCGGGTCCCATCGTAACTCCAAACGCTCCAAATTGGGGCAGTTATTAGCAATTCCGTCCATCAACTGATCAACATGAATATTAACGCCTAGCCTCTCTTGAGTGCCCATCACAAGTATTCTGAAATATTATTGGAATTTTTAATTAAAAAAACTATAATTATAAAAATTTAAATTATAATAATAGATAGAGAGAAGAAGCTTTTTTGTAAAATTATTGTAATAACAAAAAACGCTTCAGATTCGGTCAAGTAAAAGATATATACACACAGGACACGGAAAAAACAATTTTACTGAAAGAATATAAATCTGAATATGATTTTACTGGATCGTCAAAATAATTATATTGATACTCAAATTGATTGCTAAAACATCAAAATTTTTTGTAATATGCTCATCATATTTTGAGTTTCCAACACACATTTATTGATGGTTCAACAAAATTATTTTCAGATCTGTATTTAGCTAAATTGTAAATTTTTTAATAGAATTATTCTTTCTATGCAATAATTACTATTTTTATTTAGTAATTTGCGCGCAACGAATTACGTTAAATAGCTTCATTAGCACGGTACTTATATGGGATTGGGTTGTGCCTTGAATATACCCTCACTTTGCATTAGTGAGAATCGGTAGTACACTTTGCCAAAGTTGATCGGTAATGTGTGACATGCCCGACAGCACGAGACCGTACAGCTGATGGCCGTATCGCGACAAGAACTTGTGCAGGGCGTCGTCGGTCAAATTGTCGGAGCTGTCCAGGTCCAGCGCAATCAAGTTCCGCGTATTTCCAAGTTCGGTCCAGGCCTTCAGCACGTTTTCGTTGAAACTATTTAGTTGACCGGCGCTCAGGAAGCGCAGCCCGGGGATTCTGGTCAGCATGTCGATCAGGCATTCCGTCGACAGGTCGGTAGCGGTAATGTCGAGCTCCTGAATGCTTGACTTTTCCCATTCAACTTGCATTACGTACTCGCTCTGCAGATCTAAAATATTGTAATACGGTTTCTTTAAAATCTGACGAAAAAAAAATTACTTATCTGTTTTCGAGCTGCGTGAAATACTTTTTTTCATTAAGCTTCTGACGTAGATTGGGCAATATGATTGATTTAAACAAAAATTCGCGAAATAGCAGATTTCAAAAATTTAAGGTAAATAAAATTTTCATAGAAAGTATCAGATAAATCAAGACGATTATATACATATAGATGGTCATATCTCACTTGTTCCTTGCATTAGAAGACACGTCAGTCTTCTGCTCCTTTGGAAGAGGGTCTTCATGGTCGAACCGGTCACTTTGGAACAGTAATTGACTGCTAAGCATTCTAATTGAATGCAGTTAGAAGAAAAAGCGTCGATATGCGAATCATCCACAAAGTTGATGCCGTATAAATTGATAACCCGTAAATTAGGCGTTGCCGATTTCAGCTTGTGTACGTTGATCACTTCGTAAATCTCTTCTTCTTCTTCTTCGACTTTTTCATATGTTCCTAGAAAATAATAGATAAAGTAATAAATTATACAAAAATATAAAAATAATATTAAATAATATAAACTATATAATTTGTTTTAATACATAAATAATAATACATTTATTTTTTTTAATACGTTCGTTATCAAATTTGGTATTTAGATTTATAGCATATTCGTATATATTATAATATATGAATAATATATTGCATATAATATAATATAGAAATATAAATTTAATTAGTTACCGATTAAATGCAGGATTTCGAGACCGTTTATAAAGTTATAAATTTTTCGCATGAAACCTTCCATGAAGATTACTTCCGACAGGCAAATACACATGTATTTCAATTTCGTAGGAAACGCTTGCATTTCCGAAAAATCATGAAGTTGCATCGCAGTCGAAAAGTCCAGCAACATATGCGTTAAATTAGGACACTTATTGGCTAATTCATGTAAAACCGTATGCGTAATCAATTCGATAGGTAATTCTATATATCTCAACGAAGGTCCAAAGCGTACGCTGGAAATAATAAGTCATTATTTCATAACACCATGATATTCCTAAAATAAGAATAAACTTTGTTCTTTTCATGTTTCTTGTGTGAAACACTAATATCTTAAATAAATATTTTCTCGACTCCGCTTTTGATTTGAGACGAGATCTTGAGATAATTCAACATCATTGCGATAAGTGCCAAATGTTCGTCTAAAATTACTCTTGTGATTATCGTGCATGTATAAGGCTTTTTCCGTGTCTATAGATGAGGATTCGTATACAAAACGGCCAAGGGACACTCGAGAAGCGCGAGGATTACCTACGCGTATTATTTCTTCTTACCCACCTTATTAAGTGTAGCAGATTTTCCAGGGAGCTTACGTGAAGCCCGCTTACTTCCGGCCTTAGGGACACGTGCTTCCAAAGACGCGTGTCATACGCGATTTGCCGCCAGCGTTTGCACACGCGAGCAACTCGGCATATCTCGCGATGTGAAAGGTAGCTAAAGATATTCAGAAGAACCTTGTCCGGCAGCTTTTCTATCGTCTGCGGAGAAGAGACATTTTATTTTTATGAAAGTCAACAGTGTGCCATTGATCACATTATTTGGAATTATTCCGGAAATTGGAAAACGAAATTAGAAAGTTACATTGATCAGATGCGAATTGAATTAATTTGTGCGATTTTGTACGCGTGCATAAAAACTCTTCTTTGCGCGTTATTAATACCAATAACGTTCATGTTGGCGCGATTTCCAGGCAGATTAAACTTGTGACGTAAATATACTATTTGTCGAGTCAGTCCTGCCCTTTAAATCAGGCTATATTTATCAGTTTTAGACATCAATGTTAACTTTTCTTCAGGTTTAGGAATGTTATTTTATAAAAGTAATTCGTTTCCGTTACCGTTCTTTTTTCTGAAAAATAACTCGTTACCATTACTCGTTATTGATGTAAAAAAACTAACTTATTACCATTACTGTAATAACTAACAAGTCTTTACTTTTTCATGAATTTGATTATTTTTTTTAGAATGGCAGCAAATTGTCTATGTCGCCAATTGACTAGTTCAACACAAAATTTACAGTCATTATGGTTAATCGCAACATGATCAAATTAATATAGTTCCTTTTTTTAAACTCGCTTACGTACACATTTCATATATACATATGGATTATACGTGTAACGTTACATTTGTTACCGTTCCCAAAAAATGTAACTGCGTTACTATATTATCGTTAAATAAGGAAATGTAACGTCGTTACTCATTTGTTACTAAAAAAATAATCGTAATGGTAACAACGTTACTAATAACGCATTACTTTCCAATCCAGCTTTTCTTTCCACAGGATTTTTGTGCAAACATATAAAGTTACTTAATCCAGTAATTTTTAGTCTAATACAGTGTGCGAATCTTATTTACTCAATAAAGATTCTACGAAACCTGATAATGTGTATGTATTCAGATAGTCGCGCGAAAAATAGACGATCGAACAAACGATCGTACATTGGTGTTAAATAAATGAACTTACAGTACGACTTTTAGCGGCACCACCTTCAGAAACGTACATCTGAGACGTTTCTAGGGCAATCTGACCCCAAACGTCCACACCACCAAGATCCATGGTGCTGCTTCTTTTGGCGTTAAATCAGAATGAAGAAGTTTATCTTTTGCAGTTTAGTTTCCTTTGCGTATGCAGTCTATTCTCTCCTTTTCTCTCCAATAAATTAAACGTTTAAGTTAGACTTTATTTTTCGATCGTTATTATTTTATTTTGGAAGGTCACCTTTATTTTTGCTCTTAAACGTCACCGTACGATCGTGGCTTATCTCGGCATGATTTTCGCGTAATGGATGTTAGAATTTGTAATTCGTGCACCTCGATTTTATGAAAATTGAACAGACGGAAGATATTACTGTTCGCAGTTACACGCGATCTGTTGGAATCGCGAATCGCGACACACGAGGCAAAATTCGAGAAAGCTTAAACTACAAGTCTTCAGTAGAGTTTTATCGGATCGCGCTTGCGCGTCGCCCTAAATATACTTGGAAAGCTTGCCTGTACTTTATTTTAAACCCCACTGTGTCTACATCAACGTGGCTAGGGTACAAATTAAATTACATTTTTAGTGAAATTTACTTCCTGATAAAGAGTCGAAATGATTTCAGAAATGACCATTCTCTTCGTAATAGCCTTATGCGATTGACCACGTATACCGCTCTTCAAATTTTAAATACATATTTTGTTTTGACTGTCAATATATTATATTGTCAAAGACATATCATACATTGTTAAAAAGAAAAAATGCATTTGTAATATTCTTGACGTAGATACCACGCATTTTTGTATGCGTGATATTATATGTAACATAGTTATATTGCACGTTGATAACTTATTAATATATTCTATGCGTATACGAATACTTAATTGTAATTTGTATAATCATCCTCTGGAATATTTTATTATTCTTTTTATGCGCATATGTGTAGACATTCTAGTTATTTTTGAAAATTTTGTAATATTTACACGATTTATATTTTTGGCTCGCCCACGAAAACTAATAGCATTCGGAAGAAACTAATTGGCATTGAATTTTGTATTATTATTTAGCATTTATACAGCAGCTATTACTTTTTGTGGGCGAACCAAAAATATAAATCGTGTAAATATTACAAAATTTTCAAAAATAACTAGAATGTCTACACATATGCGCATAAAAAGAATAATAAAATATTCCAGAGGATGATTATACAAATTACAAAGTATTCGTATATATATATATATATATATAT